TATATTTTTATAATTTTATTTATACAATAATACGGGCTAAATCGGAACAAATCGCGACCCGCGCGACCCATGACCTGCATGGGCTTGACCCCGATGGGTCAGCGGGCGGGCCTGGGTTGTAGTTCAAAATTTATGGGTTGGCCCGGAACCCGTAGTGGGCGGGCTTTTTTTCACGCGGACCGTTACCGGGCTCATATGTTGATGGGCCAACCCAGCCCGGACCACCCGGCTTGATACCACTATGACGAACTATCAAAGGGGTGGGTAAGATTTTAACCTATTTTTATGTTTAATTCAACTGATGAAACCAAACAATTTTCTATATATGGGAGGGCTTCCTACTAGGACAAACCCATGAAATTTTAGGCCTGGATGCTCAAGTTGCTGGGTTGAAAAGCAAGATTATTATGCCCATGTTTGATTCACATTCTCATTCTCATTCTCATTCTTCTACTCATTTTCAACCACACATTTTTCAATAAAATAATATTTTTCATCATATTAATAATTTTTCTTTGTTTTTCAACCACATATTCCTCGTCACGTCGACAGTAAAAATACATTCTTACTCTCAAAATGTGCACCAAATAGGGGTTATAGTATCAAGGGTTTTTTTGCTAGCCACTTCCCAAATTGCTCTCACAGGTGCAAGTTTTGTGTACAACTATAATTTACAATGAAAGTATTTCCCCTGCAGTCAAGGGCGAATCCAGCATTGTAGTTCAGTTAGGGCGAAGATCGTTGATCGGTAACCGATGAACGAGTCACGCGTAGCGTCCACCGTCAACCAGACTACCACCGTCCAACGGATTTATTTTTCCATTAAAATTGATTTAAAAATAGTGTACGCATGATTTAATTGAGCCTAACATCTTCTCCATTAATTTTTTTCACTTATCCCTAATTTCTTAAAAACCTAATTTCCCAAATCACAATCACAATTCACAAATCAAAATTATAACTCATATACTTATAGTCTCGGACAATAATACAACATAAATTCTCATTTCTCACAATTCATAAATCGCTAATTAAAAAAAAAAAAAAACAGAGATTGAAAGTAAAAACCGAATGGAAACCGCTCACCGTTCACCGAGTCAAGTGTCTCGTCGATCGACGGCGTTACAGACAGCAGGTCCGCATCAGCGAAGCGTATCTGTTGTCTCCCGGGCCTTAGTCTCCCTCCTCTCATCTGTCGGTTTTCAATTTTGGAAATTGGTTGTGGCTAATGGGTTTTGCTCACCGATGGAGTGTGGACCAATAACCATGGGTCCATGGTCCAGTGACTTCTCCAGTTGGGCCCATTCATTGGGCCTTATTTTTTTTTTAAAAAAAAGGCCCAACATGAACAATAACAAAGGGGGAAAAAATTATGGGCTTCTTCTTCATTTTCCGGTGGACGGCAGTTAATTGAAGCTTCGAGTGGATCCAGCACTGGCGGCCGCGAGGGATGGTCAGGTGCTGGGTCTACCCCTGCCCACAGTTGATCTTGAAGGACTAATCCAGAGCAGAACAATTTACTGGATGCCTCCACGATCAAGAAAACAATCATTTCTTATTCTGTCTTGTCTATATTTACTACTTACCTCTTTTCCATTCTCGTCTTAACTAAGTTGTTCTTATTTGGTGCTTTCTTAGTTTCGTTCGATTTTGACTGTGACACACTATTGAACTGAACTTCTCAGCCAAAATATGTGTTGCTATGACTACCAATTTCTTGGATTATTAAGATTTGACTAGTATGCCAGAGAACCACAGGTTCTTGCAGCCAATACAGGAACGATCGCTGCCTTTTGTACATGCCTTAATGATATATTATGTGATACTCGCAGTTTTCAAGTAATTCCTTGCAACATAAATCTGATCAGGTGAATGTTGAAATCGCGCTAGATAACAGAGTCGTCTAGATGTGCAACAGAGATTGATCATGAACTTGTGTATATTTAATGACAGTGAAAACGTACAAATATTCCAGAAAGTTTGCTTGTTCCAAGAAGCACGAATTGTGGTTTTTGACTCAGATTTCTTCATTAAACTGTTAAGACTCCCTCAAAAAAACAAGGTTTGATCTGAGCCGATTCTGATATTTTGTAACCCTTATGCCAACTTCAAATATGGGGTCCTATGAATATTAAACCCCTATTTGATTGATTCAGATTTCTAACAAATTTTAATGAAAGTTGATGGAATGTGTAGTGAAAAAGTTGTGGATCTTATGAAATATGTTGTTAAAATTAATCATTGTCTTTGACTTAAAAAATAATTAAATATAATTAAAAACAATTAAACATAATCTGAAAGATTGAAAGACAAAATACAAGATTTAAACTCCAATACAAACATAAAAATGAAAAAAAAAAAAAAAAGAAAGAAAGAAAGAAAGAAATAAGGAAATAGGAACTTCCTCTTCCCTTATATTTGTGACAAACACATAACGTTGAGAAATCTTAATTTAGTATTCGTAATTTCTTTCCGTAGTTCTAAGTCATGAAATTCCACTTAGATTGCCTAATTTCAAAAAGTTAATTTGGACTAGCTTTATTGCTTCCCTTTTAATGAACTCTAGCTGTGAAGATAGAACCCAGCCAAAAGATTGATATCTAAAGTTCAAAGATGGTGTCTTTAACCAACCAAAACCAAGTATTTACACAACAAAAATGAAACAAGAACGAGAGGAAAAGGAAGTCAAGATAGAAACAACAATGCTATACAGCGGGAAGCCACATAATTACAGAAAATGAAAAGCAAATGTCTTGCATAATACATAATCTTATTACCAAAATTTAGACCATCTTAAACGACTCAATAGGTTTCAAGAAGACCTCTCTATATTCAATTTTGGAGGGTACAGCTTCGTCATGTTTAAAAGGATGAACTTTATAAAATTGCTAATAATCATCTCACATATCAATGACACTACGAGCAGATCTATAAAAAGCTTCAGTACAACTATTAAGTTCACCATTTACTCTTTCGAAAATATCAATAAACATTCTTCCATGGATAGTTTATGGTAGAAAAGAGAGCACGTATCATGGATACAGATATCCCAACTCTAGGTTTACCCATGATTTTGTTTC